ATGGTAAGTTGCACCTACCCCAATGGTACCACCTCCGCGCCACTGAACCCAAAAAGAGAGGTCTTGATTGGTGTAATCTCCATCCCCAGGTCCATCTTTCTAAAGCACTCGTAGAACAGAATGTCCACCGAGCTCCCCGTGTCCACTAGTATCCTTTCAACATCATAGTTTGTAATTTCTGCTGTCACCACCAATGCATCATTATGGGGTACCAAAATTCCTTGAGAGTCCCTTGCTCTGAAAGTCAACTCCGGTATGGTGTGAGCGGTCTGAACTTTTGCCACACTCTCCCAATCGGCCCTTAAATTAGCCCGCCTAGCTCCATTAGAATCACCATCTATTGGCCCCCCGAATATCATATGGATCACCCCCCTTTTTGGAACCCTTTCCCCTTGCTCATCCTGTCTCATCTTCCGATCAACCCCCACCATATCACCCTTTTTCTCCCTATCCTGGACCACAAACTCCTTCAAGTGTCCGGCTCTTATCAACCCCTCAATCTCGTCCTTGAGCTCCTTACAGTTATTGGTCCAATGCCCATAGTCCCAATGATACCTACAGTAAGGGTCTCCATTCGCTGGTACTCTCCCAGACTTCTTTGGTAAGGGATGGGGCTTCGCTAACATCTTTGCTCTCCACGCTTTTCCAACATCTCAAAAACCTGCCCTCTCGGTGATGTCAGTGGAGTGTAATACTCATATCTGAACCCCATGCGCCCCTTGTCATCACTCCTATAATCCTTCCCTCCTGACTTTCTGTCCTCCGGTCTGGGTTTTTTCTCGGGCTTCTTCTCCCGAGCCCGATCATGTGCCTGAAAATCTACTTTTGTCTCCTCCATATTCATATACTTGGTGCACCTCTCCAATAACTCGTCATATGATCGGGCGGGCTTCTTAGCCGATGAACTCCTACAATGACCCGCCTTCAACCCCCTGGTAAGGCCACCAGCTTTGATTTCTTCAGTCGCCGTAGGGACCTCCACGCATGCACGAGTAAACCTAGCCACGTATTCTCTAAGAGACTCATTGTCACGTTGTTGCATGTTCATCAGGGACATATACGTCTTCTCATGTTTTTTCGCGCTAGAGAATTGATTGATAAACAGCGAGCTAAACGCATTGAAACTATAAACAGATCCCGCAGGCAACTAGTGGAATCAATCTTGAGTCGGGACCTTCAAGGTTGTCAAGAAGGCTCTACAACAAACGCCATAAC